GGAGTACATGAATGAATACCTTAAGGAGTATTTTCAACAACATGGCATGATTCATGAGTCATCTTGCTCTCAAACACCTCAGCAGAATGGTGTGGCAGAGAGAAAGAATAGACATATCCTTGAGACAGCTCGAGCTCTGTTGATTGAAAGTCATGTGCCTCAGAGATTTTGGGACAATAGTGTGACTACAGCTGTCCATCTCCTCAATCGGATGCCGTCTAAAGTGTTAAACTTTCAAACACCACTACAGACTTTGTCCACATATGTGCCTTTACCTTCAGTCCTGACCATCCCTCCTCGGGTGTTTGGGTGTGTTGCATTTGTTCATATCCCAAAGAATCAGCGAACGAAACTTGATCCTTGTGCACTACGATGTCTGTTCTTGGGGTATGGTACACACCAGAAGGGATATCGTTGCTATGACCCTTCTACCCGGCGAACCTATGTGACTATGGATGTCTCGTTTGTGGAAGCTGAATCTTTTTATCCGAGTTCCCATTCTTCCTTTCAGGGGGAGATACAGATAGAAAGGGCGAATTGGTGGGAGTTTCCTGGTAGTATATTATCTGGAGGGGTGGAGAAAGTATCGTCTAAAGGGGCGGAAGAGCATGGTAGTATATTATCTGGAGAGGTGGAGAAAGCATCATCTGAGGGGACGGAAGAGGCATCGTTTGGGGGTGTGGAGAAGACATCGTCTGAGGCGGTGGTATCGTCTGAGGAAGTAGAAGAGGTATCATCTGAGGGTGGCCAACTTCTACAGGAGCAAAATCATGAAGAACAGCTTCCCTCTTCTCCAGTACCCGACTCAACTCCTGAGAATATTCCTGAGGTAACCTCTCCTACTCCTTCTTGTATCTTTGATGAGCTTGATACTTCTGTGGGATATAAATTACCTGCTAGACACAATCGAGGTAAGCCTCCAAATAGATATTCGCCGGATGCTGAAGAGAAGAGATGTACATATCCTATTGCAAATTATGTGTCAACCAAAAGGTTGTCGGCCCAAGATAAAGGCATTTATATCGAACGTGTCCGCAGTTCGTATTCCGAAGGGTACAGGGATGCTCGAAAGATCCCAAGTGGGTTCAAGCAATGGAGGAGGAGATGGCTGCATTGAAAAAAAATGAGACCTGGAAGCTAGTAGATTTACCCAAGGGAAAGAAGACTGTGGGATGTAAGTGGGTCTTTTCTGCGAAGTACAAAGCAGATGGATCGATTGAGAGGTACAAGGCAAGACTAGTAGCAAAGGGGTATACGCAAGCTTACGGAATTGACTATCAAGAGACATTTTCTCCGGTTGCTAAACTTAATACTGTTCGGGTCTTGTTGTCTCTTGCTGCTAATTTAGACTGGCCACTGCACCAGTATGATGTCAAGAATGCATTTCTTCATGGTAATCTCGAAGAAGAGATTTATATGGATGTTCCGCCAGGTTATTCTTCATCCTCACAGCCTGAGGCGGCGTGTAAGTTAGAGAGATCATTGTATGGTCTGAAGCAGTCTCCACGAGCATGGTTTGGCCGGTTCACTTTGGCGATGAAGAGGTATGGATATTCCCAAAGTGACTCAGATCACACATTGTTTCTAAAACGACATCAAGGGAAGGTTACAATGTTGATTATCTATGTTGATGATATGATTATCACTGGAGATGATTTGATAGAAATATCTAAGCTTCAAGAGAAACTTTCTGAGGAGTTTGAGATGAAAAATCTTGGGGGGTTGAAATACTTCCTAGGGATTGAAGTAGCGAGGTCGACAGGGGGAATATTTCTCTCACAAAGAAAGTATGTGCTAGATTTATTGGCAGAGGTGGGAATGTTGGACTGCAAACCTGCAGACACACCAATTGTTCAGAACCATAGACTTGGGGAGTATCCAGATCAAGTGCCAACAAATAAAGAACGATATCAAAGGTTAGTTGGCAAACTAATTTATCTGTCGCATACTCGTCCTGATATTGCATATGCGGTGAGTATTGTTAGCCAGTTTATGCATGCCCCAAGTGAAGATCATATGAATGCAGTGTTGCGTATACTTCGCTACTTGAAGTCTTCTCCAGGACGCGGTTTGAGGTTCTTAAAAAGGGGTCATCTTGAAATCGAAGGATTTACTGACGCGGACCGGGCCGGGAGTGTTCATGACCGAAGATCAACTTCAGGATACTTCACTTTTGTGGGAGGAAACTTAGTTACTTGGAGAAGCAAGAAACAGAAAGTAGTAGCATTATCAAGTGCAGAGGCTGAATTTAGAGGGATGGCCAAAGGGGTGTGTGAGCTCCTATGGCTTAAGAAGTTAATGTCAGAGATTGGGTTCGCTCCTAAAGCCGAGATGAAGTTGTTCAGTGATAACAAAGCAGCAATTGATATCTCTCATAATCCAGTTCAACATGACCGTACCAAACATGTTGAAGTGGACCGTCATTTTATCAAGCAAAACTTGGACGCCAAAGTGATTCGATTTCCATTTGTACGATCTGAAGATCAGTTGGCAGATATTCTGACGAAGGCTGTATCAAGCAGGATCTTCTACAGCTCACTTGACAAGTTGGGCATTCACGACATCTATGCACCAACTTGAGGGGGAGTGTGAGAATGAGCTGTAAAATATATTTATGATTGTAATTAGCTAGAATCAAGGATTATAGTTAGCTAGTTTAGAGGATATATTTTTTAAGATTCTTTCTTTTCTTTGTATATATATACGCTTTTAAGTCATTATAAACTTAATAAGAAGAAATACACTTCCTCGAAATATCATTGTGTTAACAGTATGGAGAGCATTTTGTCAATGCACATTGAATGTGAATACCCATATAATAAACCAATTCAGATAGAACATTATAGAGGTTGATTAGACAGTGCCAATAAAGTATGTAAAGTAGAAGACGAATGGTCACAATCACAACAAATCAAAATTGGATGCTGCCAAATAGTTTTATTGGTGCAGATGGGAGAAAAGAGAGTGCATGAGTTGTTAAATAATGATCCCGACCGAGGGATAAAGATAAATCAACCACTGTGTGAGAACTTTCAACGACTCTTCCCCTTCTTTCTCCAATTGACTAGTCTGCTTTGCTAGGGCCACAAGTAAATTTCTTAATTTAGTGATGAATCGTTCTGTTACTGCTTTGACGAAACCTCAATCACGTAAAATTTCCTCTGTTACAGCTGAGAAATGCACGAATCTGATGTGGGAATAATAGTCTCTGATAATGTCTCTGTCTTTCTTTTTTTGTTTGTACTTCACTGTTTCAGCTGTCCAGGGTCGACTCAGCAGCGGGATTGTGCGGACCATTTCTTCAGAAAAAAATATCACATCCTTAAAAAAACGAATAATTCATTTTTGAGAAAATGCAGGAATAGGTGTTCGTAATACGTCTTCACCATGAAAGGACTTGCCTGGTTGGTGATTTGCTTCCGATTTTTTGGTATATCATGCCATTGTTACATAAAGCATGCAGGATGTTCACACCGTTTAGTCATCTGTTGTGCATTTGTGTTATGATAACATTAACAAGGATAAGCAGAGCAAGCATCTTAATATCAGAGAGGTAAAAGACCGATTCCAGCCAAAAGTATGATCTGAAAAACTAATAAGTAGTCAAACTTCCGTACGTGGATAATACTCCCCAAGAAGAAAACTCAAGATTTCTATGAATTAAAAATTCGATATGTAGAAGGTAAGAAACCGGGGAACGAAGACTCACTATTGCTGAATAAGTCTTCCAAACTCAGCTTTGTGGAGCAGGTGCCCATTGGAATATTATATACCGTTAAATTAATTAAAAACTTTTGTGCTTCTAGCAATTTTATTACTCAAAGATATAAGGTAGCGGGACTGTCTTCCCAACTTTCATCTCAAAATGGTTAGCACAAAATCTATCATGACAATTACGGTTAGAAAGTTGCCTTCATCTACCCATCGTTAACAACTCTCCCACTTCTCTGAGAAAATCTGTGGAGGAGCTTCGAGGTTAAAAACAGTAGAGGGACATTTGGTTGTTCCAAGGGAATTAGCTAAAATTCTTTGTTGTTAATAGCGAAATCCTCTTTTGAATTAAACCTTCCTAAGCTTCTTTTTTCCACAGAATTAGGTGACTTGTGTAATATCGACCAGCTCAACATGGAAACAGTCACACCCTTGATCCTCAAGTAAGCAATGTCTTATAAGTTCTAGAAGCCATTGGAAACAGACATTGCTTACAAATTCAAACTTTTGTAAAACCTTTCTGCTCATTAGTCGCAGCTTTGGACAACACCATCTTATTTCTGACCACCGATTAACCATTTGCGGAAAAAAGAGACAAAGTTTGCACAAAAGCATCAGTTAATGGACAAGGCACTAACTATACTAAATGATTCATCATGAGTTATGAACTCGCATTGCGTATCCAAAGGTACTTAATGTATCAAGTTTTGAGCAACAGAAGAGTGAATCACTGCTATGTGTATTGTTACTAAGTTCAGTGTTTGGCATGGTAAATCAGATGAAGCCCCTAATTATTTCTGATAGGGAATATCAACAACCTAAGAATTTTCATGGTGAAGGTGAGTTTGAAAAGAGCTTTTCCTACTCCAGAGACTCGAGAGGGTCCATTCAATCCACTTCAGACGCATGAAACTGTGTTCAGAAAACAGTCCTTGTTTAATCATGCTGCTCCAAATTGATGCTGAAGAGATGAAGAGGTGAAGGAGGAATAATGCAAGGTTGTAAAAATTATGAATGAGCACTTCCATAGCTGATAATATGCATTGTTTAAGCTGCAGATGAACCGACCAAAAAAAAAAAAAAGCTGGAGATGAGAAAATCAAACTAACTGCCATGTGATCGTAGTGGTTATGGAACAGTCCATTCTTTTGAATTAAGAAGGGGAAATAAAGATCAAACCTTTGAAAACATGGTAATCTGCAGGAAAGCTTGTTGAGTAAATTGTAGACCAGGTCAAGCACTGTCATCTATAAATAGAGACCATCTTAGCATGCAAGGCACCTCACTCCACCCTCGAGCAATAATACTCTGAGCTAGGAAATAGAACCTGAGATCAAAGCCCTGCCTCCCGCCCACAATGAAGTCCCTTCCCATAAGCCTTCTCATTTTGGCTTTGGCGACTGCAACTGCCTTTGCTTATGACCCAAGTCCTCTTCAGGACATATGCGTGGCCATCGACGACCCGAAGTCTGCAGGTTGAACCTCTATTCTAGTGTTATTGACATTCTGTTTTCTTCTGGTTAATGATGCTATAAACAGAACGCGCAAAAAGGTTTTGTTTTGGTAGCATGACAACATTGTTACCTATCATAGCCAGTCTAATAGTTATTGCATATTGAGTGATGCATATTTAGATGAGTTATGTTTTCTTATGCAGTGTTTGTGAACGGGGAGTTTTGCAAGGACCCTAAGCAAGCCACTGCAGATGACTTTGTCTTTATGAAGTTCAGAAACCCTGGGAATACTGCAAACCCACTTGGATCAAAAGTCACACCTGCTACAGTCCTCGAGTTTCCAGGACTCAATACTTTGGGCATATCCATGGCTCGCATTGACTTCGCTCCCGGCGGTCTAAACCCTCCCCACACTCACCCCCGTGGCACTGAGGTTCTGGTCGTCATCGAGGGCACACTCCTTGTCGGCTTCGTCACATCCAACCAATTGAACAATACTCTTTTTACCAAAGTCTTGTACCAAGGCGACGTGTTTGTTTTCCCAATTGGACTCATTCACTTCCAGTTGAATACTGGAAAGACCCCTGCACTGGCCTTTGCTGGTTTGAGCAGCCAAAACCCAGGAGTCATTACCATAGCGAACTCCATCTTCGGAGCGAAGCCACCCATTTCTGCTGATGTTCTCACCAAGGCCTTCCAAGTGGACAAGAAAGTTGTCGACGACCTCCAGGCAAAGTTTTGGTACGACAACAACTAAATGGAGCAGATGACCAGAAAAATGCCCACAGAGCATGTGAGCCATATAGCGTATGAGATCATTGCTACTCTCCATGAGAGATTGCCAAGGATAAATCAATAATTTATCTCAATGTTTATACGGAATTTATATAACTTTTGTATGAATCATTGAGCAATAAAGATCATTTACTATGAAACTCCTTCACCACCACCGCACCCCACCCCCCTCTCTTTCTCTGTCCCTCCCTGCTTCACTAGTCAGATCAGCCTCAAAATGATCATTGAAATGTTGTTGTCATCTTATAGAACACATAAGGTTATTGGACACATTCCATTACGGGGCTTGAACTTGCATAGAGATTCGATAAAGCTCTACAAGGATACATAAAAATTCCATTGGTGTCACCTTTTTCATGCTCCAATTTTGTGGAGTCAAGGGAAAGGAAGTCCCAGTCCACGCACCACTTGTCATCAAGAGCAATGCTTCGTGCTGCCTCGTTGCCAACTTGTTTCGTATTCACCAGGATGTATCGTCATTTGTAGAAAACATGCGGTATTCTCACAGTTCGACATCTGCATATCTGTGAAAACTGTCCTATTGCAATTTGGTGGAGCTTTTATAATTCATGTGTTTCACTCCATGCTGAATTTCAGACCATTTTCAAAACCATGATTAGTTTCAACCAAAAGCCCGATTTGGAAAACCATTCACTAAGATACTGTGCCATAGGCAAAGAATACTCCCTAAAATAACTCTAGGTAATGGAGTTGATTAAAAGAAGAATATGGAAATTTAAAAAACAAAAGGAAGTGGGGAACAAAGACTCACTATAACCAAATCGATGTCCTCTACAACATTTTATATAGATCAGGCGTTCGGAAAAGAATAGAGAGCACTAGAACTTTCCATTCTTTGCTAGTAGGGAAGGACAATTATCTAATAAACTTTTTGTATCGAAAACGGTTTGTATGTGAAGCTCGCAGCAGAAATGCAAATTAAAAGTCACCATTATCTACACATTTTCAACAACTCTTCCATTTCACCGTGTTATATTAAGAAGTATAAACTGCCTTTTAACAGATCTGCCCCTTCTTCTGCAATTTCTTATAAGGGAGTCCTCGTTAGCAGATGTTGAAAAATAACCTTCTTTTTTATTCCATGTTATAGGTTTTATTTCTTTTTCAATCATCGTCCCCAGTACATATTCGTTTTGGATCAAATAAACAGAACCAAGATTGGTTGGCCTCTGATTGGTGTTGCAGTTTTTACATCCTTGCAATGCATGAAAAACATTAAAAAAAAAAAACTGAAGTACATGATTGAATCGTAAGGCAATGCATACACCAGACAAAGCGATGAAGTTCCTCTACATTTCCCTTTCCAAAAGCTTCAAGTGACCCAATTTACTTCATCAAGAGGACTGCCCGAGGTGCTGTGTGCAGGAATAGTTTACAAAAATTTGCAAACTCCCAAGGGCTGGTTGTTGTGACTTACATTATATGGAGGTAAGTGAAGCATAAAACAAAAATTGAAACTATTGATTCTCAAATTACATTTTTGGAGCCAAACGCCAATGGACCTACAGCATATTTGAAGCTTTTCCAAGTGAAAAACAAGAAAGCGCATTTCTTGATTAAACCAAAGCATAACGGTAGCGCATTTCTTAATTAAACCAAAGCATAACGGTGTTGAGAAGGATGAAATGGATATCGAATTGTGCCTATTTAATCTGAAATGCCATATCTCTATACAATTTGACTTGGGTTTAAACTGAGGACAATACAATCATGTCCAGTGTTCTGCCTGAGTCCTTGATGTATTCCCAGCATAGTTCTCTCTCTAGTACATTAATCAACACATGCTTGCTAGGTCGTCCTTGCTCAAAGAAATTTTCAAATTGCAACAACATAAAAAACTAAAGTAAAAATTATGTTAATCCTCAAGCAGGCTCGTTCGACCCCATCTACAAGTCCAATCCAAAAACTATAAGACAAATCTAAAAATCCATTCAACATAATATGAGATAACCTTCTTAACAATGCCTAGCCATGTGAAACAACCTTAAGAAATGCTTTAGTCCTGGATAAGATATTTTTTTAGTCCAACATATGAAGTGCTTTGCAAGCAAGCATATCTCTGAATACTCTTCGTAGTTTCCTCCAAATAAGAGAGTGGATCAAATTTCTAATTTAACAAGGATAAAAACTAGCAACCACAACCCATCCATGGGTAGCTCAGTTAGTTAGGGCGTATTTGGGATTGTGTAGTTAGGCGTACTGATCCCAGGTTCGATTCCTCAGTTGAGCACTTGTGATTTAAGTGGGGAGCCATGACGGCGGGTTGCTGTGCTAGTCTCCCCCAAGGAATAGTCGAGGGGCGCGCAAGCTGGCCCGGACACCTCGGTTACCAAAAAAAAAAAAATTAGCAATCACAGACTATTTCTTTCAGGAATGTGAAAGCACTTGTTCCTAAGACATGGAGATTGACCCTTTCAACAACATTTGCTGAGACAATATTGTATTAGTCCTTACTCAAACAAGTTGAGCACGAAAAGGTGTCAGATAGCAATTATATAAGATAAACATGGTTGGGGTCCTCTCGATTACTTGGGTCGGTTTTTGGCCCCTAGATCACGTCAAATCACCCACACTAGTACATGAATGGTTGTGATAAGAGCCATCACTCGAATGTTCCTTTTTAAGACTTGGCCTACATGGATTTAGTCCCGGGTCGTCGCACGCTTCATGAAGGTTGCTGTTCATTTCTTTATCTGAGGAATAGGAAATCAAAGTAATGGACCCGTGCTTGTAGTTGTTGTGGAATGACTCGTCCATTGTGTCTAAAACTAAACTTGCATAATATTTGTAGTTTTGTCAAATAGAGCACTTGTCGCCATGCCTCGTCAAGTAGATTACCTGGAGAGAGCCCACGTAGGCTTTCTAACTTATTTTAACACTCACCTTTAACAAAAGCTTAAGCCAACAAGTTTAGTATCAACTGAGTAAATTAATTGCTCTCACCTCGACATGTATCTGACTTGAAACCTATTTTACTAATACTCTTAGATGAACGCCTTAAAATATTAGCTTCTTAGTACTTCATGTAGGGGATTAATTACAGTCTAGTCCTTTAAATATCCTTGTTTGAGCAATCTGATCCATTACAACCTTTTTCTGCAATGTAGTCTCTAACTTAAACATATTTGTGCGATTGAGTCATCCGGTGATCTAAGTGTTACTCCTGTTGTCAAATCGTTGATATAGCGATATACGAAAGTGTTTATGATGTGGGCCCACGCTAGAACAAAAAACACAAAAGTACCAAAGAAAAGATTTGTGAATTGAGAGAGAGCATGCACACAGAAGGTTGAGATGAGGTAGGGTCAACCTGGCACTCTTTGAGGCCTCGTTGGGCCTAGGCCACGCTTTAGCAGGGTCACAGCCTCCTAGTATTTCCCGTAGTATGGGTCAATCATCGCCGGGGCACCATCAACCCTAATGAAGGTAAGGGAGGGCTTTCAACACCCTCATAGCAAGGTAAAGGGATCATGAGCCCTCAAATTGCCGAAAAATGGCTCGAGAGCCCTAACCACTCCTCAGCGAGGCTGGCGAGCCCTAGACACCGCACGTGCACAATTAAGGCCTACCAGTGCTCTCTTGGATGGCGAAGGGCTAGCAAAACTTTGCCAAAGCAAGGGTTCCTAACTTTCCAACATTTTTAAATAATAATACTTTTTAATTCTTGAAAACAAAGTTTCTCATTCTATCCTCTGATTGGTTTTGCAAGATCAGAGAAAAGATGACAGAGTAGTTGAGCCATATAATAGGAAAATTGTCCAAAAGTCCTAAACTTGTTACACTTTTGTCAATTCAGTCTTAAACCTTTCAATCTTTCCAATTGAGTCCTAAACCTTTTGACGTTTTTCCAATTGAGTCATCCTACTAATTTTGGCTGGAAATCGCTGAGGTGAATGCTAGCCATCTTATGTGTAAGCACTTTTGCTTACAAGTTCTAACTTTTGTAAAACCTTTTTTCTCATTAGGTTGCAGAGCACTTGTAGCTTTGGACAACAGCTTCTTATTTCTAACCTGGCATTAACCATTTGCGGACAAAAGTGACAAAGTTTGCACAGAAGCATCAGTTAACATGAGTTATGTGTTAAAATATTTAAATGATAAATCACACATTCATCTATTAGCTTCAGAACAATTAGTAGTAGTCCCACAAAATCTCACATGGTATCAGAGCTGGAGATCCTGAGTTTGAATCTTTCCAAGCCCCATTTGCTTTCCCAATTAAATATTTTCACACCTAGTACTAGGCAAAAAGACTAGATTAAGCGTGAGGGGAAGTGTTATAATATTTAATTAATAAACCACGCCTTCATCTATCAGCCTAAGTTTTTAGAATAGTTGGCAGTGGTCCCACAAAATCTCACATTATAAGCTCGCATTGTGTGTGACATCTTGAAAATCTGTCCATTTGGGATTTATGAAATACTGGGTTTTATGAATGTGCTTGTAGTTAGTTCTCGCCTGGAACTGATCATTCCTGTGATACTAACCAATAGGGAAAGGCTAACTGGGAATTTAAATTCGTGCGACTAAGAGGAAATTCGATCGTGAATTGATTTTCGACCATAAAATCGCCGAGGTGACATTTTGAGCCACTGTAAGCCGATCCAAGGATAGCTAGGGGTCAGTTCGCCACTGTCATAGCAGTGGATCGCGGGTGATTCCGCTAGACCACGAAATGAATTGACGAACGATCCCGAACCTATGCCAAACGATCGTGCCCCTCGGATCTAGCGATTGATCCTCGCGATTTAAATGACATCCGAAGTCGTCACGAACCGAATGAACTTGCACGTGACTCGATTTATTATCAGTCACAGGTCGAATACGCGAATTTCCCCAACCAGCCGCCCGTTAGTTTGAGAAACGCTCGAGTTGCGTTTAATAAAATTTAATTATTTAATTGAGCCCAAATTGGACATCGGAAAATTAGGAAGTCACAATGGGACGTTAGGATGACGTTGTGGTTGGAACGTGCGATTTTGGATTGTCCCGGATCCTTAAGAAAAATTCGATTTCGATGAGAATTGAGGAAAAGGACCATTTTGCCCTTAGAGATTTATAAAGGGCATGTTTTATGAGGGAGGGGCATTTTGGTCATTTTGCCATAACTTTTTGGTTG